CTATCTATCGTTATTTATTGGAGTGAATCTTGTTATTGAATTTTTTTTCGGCAAATAGCAGCCCGAGAGCGCACTGCCAAATGTCGTCGAAAAAAACATTGTTTTTATGCGCTCGTAAACGATATTCGTAGGAATCAACAATTAATTTTCGACAATTAACGAATTAAACAGCTCGAATACCAGGAATTATGTTTATAATTAAGAAAATATTTTATTAAGTTAATTAAATGTTCAGACATACTACGACAAATATTATTATAAAAAGTAATTTGTTCCTAATTAATTTAAAAACAATGAATATTATTGTTTTTAGTGATTTCCAAATCCAAATTATAAAACCTAAATTTTTTAATTTGGTTACAGAAATATTTATACCACTCTTATATACCCCTTAAAGAGCTTATTTGGGGAGTTTATGAAGGTTATAAAATATTTTAGTAACACTATAAAGCCCAAAATATATGAAAATATTTTTTTGAAATAAATTAATATCTTTCTTTTGCTTGTTTGAAAGTAGTAAATTTTTTGACACCTGTCATTTTTAATATCTGTCATTTATTTACATTTGTCATTTTTCACATCTGTTATTTTTTGACATCTGTCATTTTTTTCATTGAAAAAACGACAGCTGACACATGCCAAAAATGACAGGTGAAATATGTCAAATTAACAGGCGACAGCTGAAAGTCTAAATTTTTACAAATGGTGTTTTTTGACATACATCACCTGTCATTTTTTGACATTTTTAATTTTTTAACGTCTGTCATTTTATGACATCTATAAAAAACTGATCAGTTAAAATGGGTTAAAATCTTAAAAGAAAAAAAAAATTTTTTTAAAATATTTTTGATTTTTGATTTGTTTAATTTGGTCATTTTTTGACACCTGTTATTTTTTGACATCTGTCATTTTTTGACATCTGTCATTTTTTTATAAAGCCCAAAATATATGAATATATTTTTTTTAAATAAATTAATATCTTTCTTTTGCTTGTTTTAAAGTAGTAAATTTTTTACCTTGGTTTGGTCAATTAAGTTGTTTTTTTAATACAATTCGATTAACAATTATTTTATGTAAAAAACAATCATGACTGAAAGAATTTATCAACCTTGAACCCTCTTATAATGCTTATGGTAATTTTATATAACCTAAGGTACTAGTTAAGTTTTATAGGACTATCTAAGTTACTTAAAGTGTTATTATATAACTTTGAAACTCTTTATATACATTGTAGCAACTGTCGTTACTACAAGTGATGTTTTAAAACCATCTAACCAGGTTTGCCATTTTTGCCGAAAATATTTATGTTAATAATATTAATATGCTAAATGTTTTCTTTTCAAGCAATTTTTAATTAAAATTATGAAAAAACATTGCGTCGAAAGCTAATACCATGCTTAATTTCTGTTTCAATTACTAAACATTTTTGGTTTATTAAGCACGTAAATAACTCACAATTTGTATTTAAAAAAATTGAAGACACAACAGTTTTATAAAACAGGTAACTGCAAACTTTATAAAAGCCCTTTATAAACCTACTGATAACGGTTACTAAAGGTTATATAAAATGTTTGTAGAAACAATTATACACCTAGAGTTAACAGTAACCTTATATGACCATTATAAAACTAGTAAACTAAATGGCGATTTTATAAAACCTTGTTTAACTCTTATATAATTTGACAACTCTTATATAACCTTTATATCCTAGAATTAGATGGTGCCAACATAAAATTCAACTTCTTCAAGAATAAAAAAGTTTACAAAAAACCTGAATTTAGTTTTTTGCCATGGCAGATTGCAAAAGCAAAATATGCAGAACAAATGTTCATCCATAGTAATTTTTGTTATTTAAATTTGGCATTCATTGCATTATTGATTTGTTTGTGGGCTAAAAACAAATTACGCCAAGTATTTTTCTGTAATTTGTCGGCGCAATTATCCAAATAATCGAAATCACGATCGCAGATTTTTCAAGCAATCGAAAACACTTGACACGGCAAATTTAGTCATATTTGAATGAGGCACGTAAAAATTTCGCAAGGACAAAAGTGCATTTACCTCTTCCAGACTTCTATAATTAATAATAAGATTCATTTCAATACACGTTTAAGTTTTCGACAATACAACAAGGTGCACCTTTTTTACTTTTTATTTGTGTATCGTTTTTTTGTTAGCTCGTTTCGCTGTTTTATAATTAATATGCAGAGATAAGTTATCCTTGATGTTGGCGTTTGAAAATCCAAATTAATAATTTTATAATAAACACAAAAACCAGGCAATAATAAATTTACCTGTTTGTGAAAATGCATTTTAAGGAGAACTAAGTACTTAATCTTCACTAAACTCTAAACGAATTTTAAAATCTGTGAAATAAGGTCATAAATTTATTAAAATTCAATTCAAATCTTTATCAGGTAGGTAGAGAAACTTTTTTCAAAGGATAATCTATTGCGTAATCTACGCAATATATTTTTTCTGATAGATGAATTGTTAAATAGACAAACCCCCTAAATTGCCTTATTGCCATACCGAGGTAATTAATTTATAAAACAGAATAAATTAAGAATAACATTTTTTTTTAAATATATGGTAATCACAAATTTTGAGTGGAGTGCCCATAAAACATTCTATTCACTTTTACCATAAAAAACTGCTTCTAAATCGGATTTATAACTTTTTGGTTTAATGTAATGTAACACATTATTAGTTGGTTAAATTAAACTAACTTGTTATTTTCAAAATTACTAACCTAACCTAACCTAAACTTAAAGAGCTTATTTGGGGAGTTTATGAAGGTTAATATATAACACTATAAAGCCCAAGTTTTATAACTAGAGATAACAGGAATATTATGGAAACCACTATATAACTTCCTAAAGAACTGCTACCGGCTTTTTCCTCAATAGGACTTAAAGTGCAAAGAAATTTGTATTGTAAATACACTCACAGGCAAAATAATCGATCCACACAAATTTTCGATGAATTTCAATCGCAAATAACTTTTTTATTTGATGTCGGATTTAAACGAATATTATAGAATATTGTAGATAAATTAGTGGACAATCGCTCACATTTTAAAAAATTACTAACCTAACCTAACCTAAAATACACCCAAATTAACCAAAGCTGTGGTTAATTTACCAAAAATTAACATCAAAGTTAAACTAAACCAAAATATGTCTAAAAAATAACTAGTCTTGACCATTTTCAAGGGTTAAAATTGGGAGTTAAAATAACGTTATATAACTTCTAAAATAACTTTATTTTTAACTTATAAGTAATATTACTATCTAGTTAAAAATTTAGGTATTTAAAGTCAATTTAAACTCTTGAAATAACCTAGGTAAATTTAGGTTATTTTTTAGTTCATAGTAACCTTAAAAAAATGTTAATGGTTGAATATAACTAATTGGTTAAAAACCGTTATTTTACTGAAATTTTGGTTAATTTACTTCAAGTAATATTACCAATAGGTTTTTTTTAGTAGTTCAATTATACTTAAAAATAAGCTTTGAATTTAAAGGGTTATATTTTAGTTTATAGTAACCTTAAAAAAATGTTTATGGTTGAATACTACTAATTGGTTAAAAAAAAACGTTATTTTACTTAAATTTTGGTTAATTTACTTAAAATGCTAGTTATTTAACTAGCATGACAATTTAAACTCTTGAAATAACCTTCATTTACCTATAGGTAAATTTAGGTTATTTTAAGTAATATTACCAATAGGTTTCTTTTAGTAGTTAAATTATACTTAAAAATAACCTCTGAATTTAAAGTTATTTTTTAGTTCATAGTAACCTTAAAAAAATGTTAATGGTTCAATACAACTAATTGATTAAAAAACCGTTATTTTACTGAAATTTTGGTTAATTTACTTAGAATGCTAGTTATTAAACAGTGTGCTACTTGGTTGAGTTTGTGACTAAAATGGTGTTTATCAAACTGATACATAATATACTATTAAGTTTTATTGTAATTTTTAAGTTTGATAAATTTTTGACAACTTTTTTAACTGACAAAATACTTTTATCTATTTTTCGTTCATAATGACTTCATTATAACACCGCTTTCGGTACTGTAATGAGATGCTTTATCCCACCCAAAATTTTGATTTTATAGGTTGGCTATACTTTAAACAGCAATATTTTGCATATTCGTTATAATATTTTTATGATTTTTCTAGTACTCACGAGACTTTTCTTTAACACCAAAGAAAATCCTTTTTTTCTTTAACATTAACAGCCGCTTATTGTAAATAAGTAAATTAAGGACGGCATGGCGAATCGATTTTTACATTAACTGTCAAACCAATGACTATGATACCAACTATCTAAATTAAAATTCGAACAAATTAAATTTAAATGGTATAAAATTATTTTTTTTATGGAATTTTTGCAAAATAGTTAAAATAGCATAAAGACTCATGTCATAAGACCTTTTGTCGCACTCGTCCATTACAAATATAATATACTATTTTAATTGCTTTATTTGTCACGTAGTGGTAGATATTTTTAAAAATTTATATAAATTTTTTTAATCGTATATACCTTTTGCATCCAAAACAAAACCTTTTTATAAAAAACTAAAGTTCAGCTATGGTAATAAAACTTTCCAATTTTGCTATGGATAGGTTTAATTTAAAAATAGCGTTATTATTATTCCATAAAATAGTGTTTATGCGTTGAAAACGCTCGCGATAGGTAATTTCAATAAATATGAATAATTCTCGGTGGTGGGTAATCCGCGATAATAGTAAATTTGGGCACGCGGTAGCAGCAAGGAGAGTATGGATTGGAGTTTTGTGTGCCGATAGTTTAATGGGGAACGGCGAGCGTGGACAAGGGAGAGGGCGAGGAGAAGTCGGGGGGGCAAGGGGTGCGGAGGGTGGAAATCCACGCATAACATAAGCATCATAATCCAGAGAGCCTGTCTATGTTCAAAAATGCAGCATCTTACCCCCTACCACTCGCCCTAGGAACGCATTAAAAGGCCCGTCGCGATTGGTCGAAGCGGGAACGGTGGGCCTATGCGAAGTCGCGAAACACGCACGTTGGACCACCGCCGAAATTCGGAGAGGACCCGAGTCGGCAAAGTTCAGTCTTCACTTGTCCAGTGTTCAAACAGAGTCGCAGCAGTCGGCGCTCCCACTTCGGCGCCCAAACCTCACACTCTGCCAAGTCGCAGCCGCTCTCACTGTGCTACGAACTCGCCGTGTTTACTTCTCTGCTGTGCGCGAACCGTGCGACATGCACTACATTCGACAGAACGAACGCTAAACACGGCCCCGACCATGGGCTAAACAAACGATTTTATTATTTATTTTTTCGTTTTATTTTTGTTTTATTTTTTTAACTGAAAGTGATATGAACGCAGCGCGCGCTCGCAGTAACAAGTTGTTGACGAATTTCGAACGGACGGTAACAAGAACTATTGACATGTTATGATATTTAAAGAGTGGCCGATGTATTTTTTTGTTTTGGAACTTTTATTTGTTATTGATAAAAACTATTAAGTAAACCAGTGCGATGGCAAGTAATAATAGTGGCGTGCAACCGGCGCAACATTATCAGGACTCCAGGAGCACCCCGTTTCCGTGCAAAGAATGCGGCACCTACTTCAACTCGGCCGAGTCTTTGGAAGTGCACTTGCAATACCACAAGGAGAACCTGCTGAAGAACTGGGCCATCCAGGCGACCTCCCACTCGGAGGAGACCAACAACAACACCACTAACAAGGCGACGATCAAACGTGAGTTTATTTCAAACAATACTGTAGCCGCCGCGGCGGAGCCGTCCGACGGCGGTCAAAAGAAGAGTCCGGAGTACAGCCGGACCACCCCCGAGACCATTTTCGGACACCCTCCGACCCCGCAGAGCTACCACAGCGCTTCCTCCCCTTACCAGAATCAGGATAATTCCGCCTTTTCGCCAAACTTTCAAAATTTCCCCCTCAAAACCGAACGGGCATCTCCAAACCCCAACCATTATCAAAACAACTATCAATATCAAGAGCAGCAATTCTTTAACCCTCTCGATGCCAATTCTCAGTACAACCAAGACTACCCGGTGCACAAAGGGCCCATGCCAAACCCTTCGTACAGATACCATCCGTACGGGCAGCCCCAACAAAGCCCGTACGATAGAACCCAACAGGCACCCTCTTCGTCAAGCCCTGCTTACCCTCCGCAGCCCACTCCGTCGCCTAGTCCCAAGCAATGCGACAAGTGCGGCTACGTGTGCGAGTCCGCCTCTCAATTAATCGAGCACCAGAACATGGCTCACCCTCCGACACCGCTCGCCTCCTATCAGCCAAATCAACATTTCATGTTCAACGAACAACAACAACAACAGCAACAACCCGCCCAAATTAAAACCGAAGACGACGCTCAGAGCGACATCCTCGACCTTGACTCTCACAAAGTCGTCCATCAAGTTTATCCCGAGGAAGCCGACAAGCAACGCCAAAACGGCGGCGGCGGCGGCGATCCCAACGCCCATAACCCACATTCCGTGTCGGCGATGCTCAACTCTTGGTCGCCCACGCATCAACAGCAGCAGCTCACCGCCGCCCAGCAGCAATACAAAATGCTGGAGCAGCAACGCATGTTCCTCCAGCAGCAGCAGCAGCAGCAGCAGCAGCAGCAGCAGCAACAAAACATTCCAGAGAGCAAGATGTTCTCACCCGAACAGAAGCTATTCCAGCAGCATCAGCTGCACAATCCTGCCGAGTTTATGAGCAACGGAGTGACCTCGACCACCTCCGATTCGTCTGGGAACGGCATGAGTCCCCAGCCGTACAGACCGTTCGAGCACCTGCCATCTCAACCGAACCCGTCAGCGCCTGTGATCACAACCCCTCAAGTTCCTACAAACCAACAGCAGCAGCAGCAACAGCAACCGCCCGCGCCGATGGGCTCATCGACAAAATCGAGCAATTGGAAGTCGAACGAGGCCCGCAGACCGAAAACGTACAACTGCACCGCTTGCAACAAGTGGTTCACCAGCTCGGGGCACTTGAAACGCCACTACAACACGACGCTGCACAAGAACGCGGTGAAAAGCAGCGGCGCGCCCGACCCTGCCACCATGCCGATCAGCGTGCACCACCATCCCGCGAGAGAATCGAGCAGCCGGGACGACCAGCAGTCCAACAGTCCCGGCGAAGAGATGCGCGGCGAGGACACCAACAGCATGCCCTCGGCACTGCAGTTCGAGCGTCCCAATCCCGGCCTGCCGGGCCTGATCCAGCAGCCTCCCAACGGCCCGTACGACCGGCAGCCGGCCCCCAACATCCATCACACGCCGCCTCTGCACTCGCCGATGGGCGCGCACATGATGAACACTTCTAGTATATCAAATTTAAGCAACGGGAGTCCCCCAAACGGGGAAGCAGGCCTCTCACCCACCAACTTAGACACGAGGGGCCTGCTGTCGCTCAGTTCACCCACCACCACGCACCAGCACATCAGTATGGCCACCCCCAATACCACCACGCACCAGCCGCATGGGTTCAGCATGGCGCCGCCCCCTATGATGCCCATGGAGAGCAGCCAGTATCAGATGTACCCAAACGAGTCGGCCCCCCACGTTACGCAGGCTATGGCTATCAGCAGCCTCAGTACTACTGGTGAATTCCAGCAGTACGAGCAGGAGCAGAACGATGCCATGCAGCAAGAGCAGCAGGAGCAGCAGGAGAACCTGCAGCCGCTGCCCAGCTTCTCGCAGTTCCACCGCTACAACGGACTGCTGCTGAACTACGAGAACAATGCGAACGTGGGGGGCGGGGGTTCGGCAACGACCCCTTACACTTCCTACTACATCACCGACCCGTACGAGTTGAGCGCGGAACAGCAACAACCGAGAGCCGTCTACCGCACCGCCGACGAGGACTACAAGCTGACCATCTTGACGGCGGCCGACGCCAACGCAAACACCGGCCCGCCGTCCGCGATGCACGACGAGTACGTGCAGTACGCCAACATAAACAACAACACCATCCACCACAGCAACAATCTTCTAACGATATCCACGCAGATGCACGACATGGAGGACATCAAGATGCGGTTGGACTCGCAGCCGAACTCCCCGGAGAAGGCCCACATCAAGAGGGATTTTGAAGAGCAAGTGGCCGTGGCCACGAGCACGCAGCGCACCACCACAGGGTCGCAGTCGACGGTGACGAAGAACGGGCTGCACAAGTGCATAGACTGCGACAAGGTGTTCAACAAAGCGTGCTACCTCACGCAGCACAACAAGACCTTCCACAGCGGCGACAAGCCGTTCAAGTGCACTAGGTGCGGCAAGCGGTTCTCCTGCGAGGTCACCTACCAGGAGCACCTGACGAAGCACGCGGGCGAGAAGCCGCACAAGTGCGAGCTGTGTCCCAAGCAGTTCAACCACAAGACCGACCTGCGGAGGCACATGTGCCTGCACACCGGCCAGAAGCCGTACGCGTGCGACACGTGCGGCAAGGGCTTCATACGCAAGGACCACATGATGAAGCACTGCGAGACCCACGTGCGACGCACCCAGTCCAAGATGGCCGCCATGAGATGATTAGAGAGGGTAATTCCCATACAGCGCAAGATGTCCATTGGACGTCAAATGGACGTCCAATGGATATATGTGCTGTCTGGGTTTAGTATTTCCAGAGCACTCGGTGTTTGTGTAGATATTTTTGTTTTTGTCCTTATTGGCACTTTTCTACTTAAATGTTGTTGTATCTCTATCTATATCTGACCTAACTGCACTCGTTGATTTTTCGATAAGGAGACCACATTCACCTACTTAATAACAGCAACTTTTTCGCAAATTTCATCCGAGTGAAGTTTGCAAAAAAAAATCTGTATTAACCAGGCGAATGAGCATTTCTTGTTTTACTTTGTAAATATTGTTTTCGTGTTGATTTTGGACGACAGTGTAAACAAAGATACAAACAAACAAACAAACAATCAATTGCTCAATTTTTCGTTAACAATAAACACTGCGAAGTCACGTGTCCGACACTATACAATACATTCAAAATAACAGTAATACCTCATAAACTCAGTTATAATGATAGATATAATATTAACAAAGTATTTATATCAAATTATATTATATCTTGTGGATGTACAAACTAGAAACAATTTTATCAAAGAGTTGTATAAAATAAGATGAATAAATAGAGTTTAGTAGAGCCGGTCTCTTGCCGAGCACTGGAATTTCGAGTAATAATAATACGCAATAATAATGTTACAACGCAAAACGTTTTTGATATTTGTTTTCTAAGATGTAATAAAATGTGAGATGTTGTGTATATATTTCAGTTATTAGGTAATATTATTGATTTTAAACGAAACTACCTCAGTTTGAATTACATACATATGTGCCAATTTAATAAAAACGTTGTTTATGAGATACCATAGACAAAAATGTATCCAGTGCCAAATCCTTATTTTTTACAGGCAAAAATAAGGGCACCTCGTTACTACATTTAGTGCAATTTTTATGTTTAAGTCGCCAGATGTAATATGTTTATCAGTTACCAGATATTGTTGTTTTTCTATTTGTGTGATCCCTTGTCTTAACGACGCATCCAAATACTGTAACTTTTTTGTAAATTTTTTTCAATGTACTTCCTCTACTGGCTTCAGCCATATATTTTTACATAGAATCAATCAATGCATAGTTATTGTGTATTTTTTGTGAAGACTGAATGAAGTATGTAGAAGTATAAGTTGCCTATGTGTACATTTTTCCCCATTATTTTTATTATCTATTATTATTATTATTATTATATTATATATGTTGCAAACCAGGCATTTCTTTAAATGTTATGTTATCTACCAATGATAAGAAATAAAACATAATTAATTATTATAAACATCTTTTATTTCCCAACAACACCTAATGAAAAAAAAACAACAACAGGTAAGTGCATATAAACAGATTTTTAACCTTTCAAAAATAATTATAGTTTATATCTAAGGTGACCTTAGTCAAAATTGACACCTAACAATTAAAATACTCCTTTTATTTTATCCCAAATTACTTTACAAACATGTTTATAGCAAATAAGTTTGTTGAACTCTCCAAAAATAATTAAACTGTTTTCGATATACCTACCTCGTCAAATAATTTTTTACATTTTATTTAATATTTTTCAATTCCATTGAATTAAATCACAAAGAATTTAACAGAATTCAAATCCATTGAAGAGTCTTTTAAAAACTACACACCACCTGGTACTTTCTAAGATTCTTTTTTATTCAACAATCTTTTTTAATTTTATAATGGATGTAGATAAAAAGAAAAAATACAAAAGATGAATCCCAAGATAGCAGTATTCCTATCAGTATTAAATGTTTCGTGCAATATCCATATATAGGGTGGTTTTAAGTTCATCATCAAAAAACTCGCATTTGAGTATATGAAACAGCACAGGAAGGATTAAACGAAATCGATTTCATCGCCTACTGGACCTTGTAATCCAATTTCCCGACCTTTCTCTTAATAATACACCCACCGATTCGTACGAAATTCCTTCTTAAAAAACCCAAAAGAATCACCCATCTAGAATCTAGATACATATGTGAAGAAATGCATGGCCAACTGTTTACACGCACCTGGAAGCTAAGCTTACTGTGATGCGTTGACAATACTTGGTCTTTCTCTCTTCTCTGTCTTTCCTTCTTTCGGGCTTTTTAAATGCGAACCTAACATAATACACTTTGATTTGTGAGCTGTATGACAGTCCCATTGTCCTTTTTTATTTCTCTTTCTGGTGCTTTCCTTTATGGATTTCTCTTAATTGCTTTCAAGGTCCACGTGTTTTTTATTTGTGTGTGATAAGATTTTTGATGTACATCTTTACACAGTATAGATAGTTAATTTGAAACTTCTTTCCACGATATAGATGATTTGTCAGGCTGAATGGTTTTGATATTCTGAAGGGGATAAAATCATTGTTCCCATGAGATTCCTCGCGAGCCACCTGTTTCTGCTCATTACTTTACTTCCGCCGATAAATCAGATGTTCTGGTGCACCTTCCATAAGTCTTATGGTGGCAGTCATTAATAGGTGGACTCACAATCAGTTATATATTATTCTTTTGGATCAATTTGCGGGGGGTAAGGGATGCAAGGTTATATAACTAACCCCTGTTGATGATCATTGTCAACACGAAAAAATCGATTACCAAGATCGGATTTCATCTGATGTTATCGACTGTCATCGTTTCTCTCCCTTGAGGGAGCAATCTCGCAGCACAGGTCCTCAAAAGAATAATGAACCTGGTTACACAACGATGTTTTCTTCTTCGTATCAAACGAACGGAAGTACTTTGCTGAATTCACCAACCAGACGTGTTGAATTACGCGGTTTCCGGTGCGCGGTGTATTTGGAGCAGTGATTTTTTTGATGATTACGAAAGGTGGATTCGAGCAAATTTTAGGGGTGGTGCAGGATATTTTGTCTCAGGTTCTTTGAGGAAAAAGGTGTCATTTGTACCCTATAATTATTTTTTTTTCTTATGTTGTTATTTCCTGTAATTTTTTTAATGCTTTTTAAATTAAACAAAAATCAACAACAAAATTTACTGTAAATATTAAAAAAAAAATCTGGAAATAGTTATGAAAATAAAAATCAAAATATTAAAAATTTAAATAATTTTATACAAAATTACTTAAAATTAGTAAGTATACTTACGAAATTTTTATTTTTAATTTTTTTTCATAAAAAACCGTAAAATTAAAAAATATGGAAAACACTAAAATTCATCATCTTTGAAAATTCCAAATTTTAATATATGTACCTACTTTAGGAAAAATCCTAAAAATAAAAATTTAAGAAATAAATAAAACAAAATTAACTTTTTATTATAATTGTAAAATTTTAAAATGTGTAATTAAAAAAATTAATTAATAAAAAAATACTTAAAAAACAGACAAAATAAAATATTAACTTTTAAAAATAGGTGTACAATATACAATACATACCACAATAATCAAAGATATAAGAAAAAATTGTTAAAAATAGTAGAAAACCAAGTATACCAATTATTATAAAAATGCACATATATAATAATATAATATTACGTAACTAGTTTAATAAACTCCATTTTAATAAGAAATTTTAATTAGGCACAAGCGAAGCTTTATAAAGTCCATAAACTTTTACAAAAAAATACCATTTTGCTTAATATGCAATGTACCTACTTGTAGTAAGAAATAACTAAAAAAATTTATAAAAAAAATAAAATGTTGACCCTTTAAAAATAGGTATAGGAGCATAAAATATTACAATAATTTTGAATTTCAAAAATTTAAATAATTTTAAATAAAATTTTAAAATTGTACCTAGGTACTTTATGAACTGTTTAAAAAATTTACTGTTATTATTAAAAAAAATCTGAAAAAGTTATGAAAGTAAAAATTAAAACATTAAAAATTTAAATAATAATACAATTATTGTATACAATATATTAACTTTTAAAAATAGGTTAAAATATCACAATAATTGAAGATATAAGAAAAAATTACCTTCAAAGTATACCAATTTTTATAAAAATGCACTTATGTATATATTATTATATATATATATATATATATATATAATAATATAATATTACGTATAAAGTTTGATAAACTCCATTTTAATAAGAAATTTTATTTACGCACGAGCGAAGCTTGCGAGCGAGTGTTTATAAAGTCCATAAACAAGTATACGATACTTTTACAAAAAAAATAAATTTTGCTTGATATGCAATGTACTTGTAGTAAAAAATAGGTCAAAAATCTTTTATAAAAAAATATAAAATTTTGACTCTCTAAAAATAGGTATATGTATGTAGGTCTTAAATTCTAGGAGGTTAAAATATTACAATAATTTTGAATTATAAAAATTTTAATAATTTTATATAAAATTTCATATTACTTAAAAATAAATAACAACAAAAATAAATAAAATTTAAAAATTGTACCTACCTTATCAACTGTTTAAAAAATTTACTGTTAATATTAAAAAAAAAATCTGGAAAAGTTATGAAAGTAAAAATCAGAATAATAAAAATTTAAATAATTGTATACAATATATTAACTTTTAAAAATAGGTATACAATATCACAATAATTAAAGATATAAGAAAAAATTATAAAACAAATCGTAGAAAACTAGTATTTCTAGTATAACTATTATAATATAAGTTATATATATAAGTTTGATAAACTCTATTTTAATAATAAGAAATTTTAATTAGGCAAGAGCGAAGCTTGCGAGTAAGTGTTTATAAAGTCTATTATGCTCTCTCTATTATGCTTGATATGCAATGAACTGGTAGTAAGAAATAGATACAAAATTATTTATAAAAAAAATCTTGACCCTTTAAAAATAAGTACTTATAGGTCTAAAATTCTAGGAGGATAAAATATTACAATAAATTGAATTTTAAAAATTTAAATAATTTTATATAAAATTGCATAACAATAAATATATTTTATCAATTTTGGGTTCATAATGACTTCATTATAACACCGCTTTAGGTGCTGTAATGAAATACTTTATCCCACCCAAAATTTTGATTTTATAGGTTGGCTATACTTTAAACAGCATAATATTTTGCATATTGGTTATAATATTTTTATGATTTTTCTAGTACTTACGAGACTTTTCTGGCAATAAATTTTGTTTAACACCAAAGAAAATCCTTTTTTCTTCTTTAACATTAATAGCCGCTTATTGTAAATAAGTAAATTAAGGACGGCATGGCGAATAGATTTTGACATTAACTGTCAAACCAATGACTGTGATACCAACTATCTAAAGTAAAATTCGACCAAATTAAATTTAAGGTAAATTAATTTTTTTTATAGAATTTTTTCAAAATAGATAAAATTATACTAATATAACCACGAAAATAAATAAAATTTAAAAATTGTACAAACCTTACAAAATTTACTGTTATCAGAATATCAGAATATTAAAAATTTAAATAATTTTATTCAAAATTACTTAAGTTCTAAAATAAATAGGAAAATAGGTAGGTAAGTATTAGGGTTTTAAAATGTCGAAAAAAAACGGAAAAATTGTTTTTTGGAAAAAATTATTTTTTTTTGTAAAATATACGCATTTGAAAAAACTAGGAATGAACAACTTTATTATCCTTTATTACAAAAAAAATAAAACTAAACATTAAATTAAATTAAACCCTAGTAAGTATAATTACTTAACAGGTAACAAAAAAATCATTATCAGTAACTGTTGTTTAGAATGAAAATAAAAATCAATTAGAAATTTTTATTTAAAATATAAAAACACCTCAAAAATTAATACTCAATAGGCAAATACTAGTTTACTGCAGGCTTCAAGAAACCATATCATTTTTTATAAAATTATTAAATATAGAAAAACTTGACAAACAACCAGAAAATATAAAAAATAATTTGTCTTAATAAAAACCGGTTTTAGTATACTATAGCCCACAGTCTCAACTCATGCTCTCACGCTAGACCTACAAACTTCTAATTGGATTTTTTCATGCCAAGAAAAATTAATTTGGGGCATTGCGCGAAAAGAAAAGACTCGGTGCTGGCGAACTGAGAGATGCAGCCGCGAAGATGACAAGAGATGAGGCAAGGTAAAAGGGGTCGCAGCTGCCGCTTGTTTGCAGACATCTGAACGCCGATCGCTAAGCGTCTACCCCTTGCGGTTCCCACGTTTCAACCCCTTACAGGGCGCACCGATTCTTCTGGGTCTGTCTTCCCGCATTTCCTCCACTATCTGTTTCCGTATCCGCATTTGTGCATCATGCACCTTTCCTCAGATCCACGGAGTATACTCTTTTTTTATTCATTTCATAGAC